TTTCCCCGACGAAAATTCGAAAGTATTGATTTTTCGCTTGGGAGGGGTTATTCCGGCTGCTCTGGGTGCTGTTCTCCTCGTCACCCGGGGGGGATGGTCTCAGGCGTGGGGCATTCCCTTTACTCGACCGAAAAATCAAAGAAAGTGAGTAAAAGAACAGTAAATTCTGCAAAATTGAATTTTTCTGCCGTGAAATGGGCCAAAAATGCTGAAAGAGGCATTTACCGACGCCCGGTAAAGAAGACTATTCTGAAAAGAATAGCATTACCGACTGCAGGTGTCGGAGGTACGGTTTCCGCCCGCGAGGGTGAGCCACGTGACGGACAAGTCGCGCGGAAAAATGAAAATTGACACCTCTGATTGGTATCAATCAAGGGTGTTTAAAAGGACCGCCTAAATATGCAAATTTAGGTCGAAGTCCAGGTCACTAGGGGGGACCACCGGCGGCGATTAATTCAATCGACACGCGCCCTAATTCCCCCACCCCCAACACCTGTGGAATTGGGGGAAATGACCACGGGAAGCGTCCTTTTCCGCCTTGACCACGATAGTGACAGGACGCAAAAATTTTTCAACGCTCCCGAAGGATTGCACAGTGCGCACGTGGTGGATAACCCCGTGCAATAGACCAAAATTTGGACGAGTTAGTGCAGAAGGTGATAAAGACCGCCGAGGAAGCACAAGCAGGTAGGTCGGGCTCCCAGGAGCCCGAGGAAAGAACCCAGGGCGAAACAACCCTGGAGGAAAGTGTCGGGAGAGCGACCACATTGCCGCAAGGCAATGAGGCCAATCCCCTCATTGAATGAACCTCTCTGTCTATTGCAGAGAGAGAGCTCACGACTGAGGAGCTGGCCGAAATGGCTTTGCTGCTCGGGGAAGAGGAAGACGAGCCCCCATCGCCCGTCTTCGAGCCTCTGGAGAGGATGGAGGTGCACCCCATGGAGGTGGAGGTGTCTACCACGGCACCTTCTCCCCCGGTGGACGAGTCTCGGGCGAAAAATCCCGAGGAGAGTGCAGCTGCAAAGGCAACGCCGGAGGAGGAGCTGGTGAGGAGTTTGGTGGCGACGTTGTCGGCCAACCCTGGGTTGCTGGCGGCTGTGCTTGCACAGCTGCCACCTGTCAACCTGGGGCCCTCGACGTCAGCGATGCCGCCACCAGCACCAGTAGTAAGGGCGGAGGAGACGGCCGGACCCTGGGAAAGGAAGACGGGGCAAAATACCCTCGTCAAACCTCCCCCCAGGAGATCAGAGACCCCCCTCCCGAAGCCCGAAGCCGAAGAGCAGAGCTCCAAAGCTAAGGGACGAGGGATAAAGGGAGCGGCGAAAGAGGTGGGGCCGCAAGGCTACACTGGGCAGGGTACCGGGGCAGGGATTAGGCGCACCTACGCCGAAGTCCTGCACGGAAAGAAGCCGGAGAGCTCAGGGCCGAAAGGCTCTGAGAGAAAAATCCCCCCAGCCGCAGCGCTGGAGCCCGAGGCCAAAGAGGCGACCTCCGAGGCCAAGGGCAAACTCCCTTCAACAGGGAGGAGGAAGGGGAAGAGGTCAGAGGCGCAAAACCCTGAAGGAAAGGACCCCGAAGCGGAGGCACGGAGCATTCACCTCCAAATACTCCAGCACGGGGGGGAAGGACCCACAGATGCGGTTGGGGCGAAAATCCCCAAGCGTAAGGCCTGTGAAGACGAGAGGATGGATATAACATCCCCTCTCGTCGACGACGAAACCCCCAGGCAGGAGGAGAAAAGGAGGAAACTCCCGCAATCCCTCATTCCAGCACGCCTGTGCTGGAACTGCCGGAAAACGGGACATAAGGGCAGAGATTGCCCGGAGGCACGAAGGCCCCACTGCCGAAGGTGCGGCATCCCGTGCAGCGAGGAATTTTGTGCCTCCTGCACCAAAAAATGGGAAACCATGGGCCCATGGGTGCCTGAATTCGGGCAGAGTGTGCCTCGGGACACCCTAAGGCTGCTGAGGAAGCAGCAGAAGGCGAACGCCAAGGCGAGGGCGACACCACGCCCTCCCAGGCGAGCTCCGGAGGCCGGGAGGCCCTTCCAGCGGGGGCCGGGTTATGTGGCCCAAGGAGAGCACGGGAAAGGACCTCGGTTCATTCCGCTGCAACCGAGGAAGCCGGCAAAACCGGGTAAGATCGCCCGGACGGAGCGGAGAGCGAGGGAGAGGGCTGAAAAGCTCGCTCGAGCTCAGCCGATGGAGGAGGATGAACTCCCAAAGGCTGAGGGGACCGAGAGCGAGGACTCCGCCTGAAAAGGCGGGAGGAGGAGCTCGGCAACCGAAGTTTTGGACAGGGGAGGGCACTTTCGCTCTGCTCCTCGCCCATTTCTTTTCGGTTGGGAGAGAGGTCTGGTCCGAAATGACCAGGACGGTACGGACTCATTTATGCGTGGCATGAACGCCGAAATTCACTTCCGAGTGAATAGAAGGCGAAGGAAAGGGGCGAATTCTATGTCTATGTCTCGCTTCATACTTCGTGGTTGTGGAGAAATACGTGAGGGGCGCCTCTATCACTCCAATGCATAGTTCATGGCTGTGATTAATGACAGGTGGTGCTCCAGACCCCGATGTTATTGTTAGAGTATTTTGCAATTTTTAATCAATTAATATGTTGTCGTTGCTCCACGCACATTTTATTAGAGTTTATAGTGACTACGTACTAAACCTGTCAAGGTTATTCTGTATATTTCAAGCAAGTGTTTACGCAATTTGTGCAATTTTCAGTATTACAGGCTAGAGTGTTTGTTTTGATTACAATCAATGTATTTGTGTGAGTTTTATTGTAAAATTTAGAGTGACATTCGGTCATGGAATTAATGTTTGATTTTCAGAGCCTGACGAAGCTGCGATTTGCAGCAAAACGTCGCGATTTGACAATAAATTAGTATTGCTGAACTCTTCCAACATCCCATTAATTATTCCTCTTGTTGTTAACCACGGAAATGAACAACGTCATCAACTATATTTTTAATATTACAACTTGTGTTAAATTCAAGAATTCAGTCTCGATTATGGCCTTTTGTTGTTAGAAATTATTATTTTCTTTTTTTTTATTTCATATTTATTATTATAGAAGAATGATTTTTAGTTGAGAGGTTAGATTTTTGTTTTAGTGCAACTTATCCCAGGAAAGAGAATGAATGGTAATCAAAATTGTGGTGTCGATGAATATATTCACAATTTTTCACCACTATCACCCATCACTTTCCTGAGAGAATGGTGATGTAGTACACATTATTGTTAATCGAAGGAGAATCATTCCGTGTAATTGACAGAAGATGTCGGTGTTTATGTCGAGTGTTATCGAAACACGAGTCCGATCCACCAATCCCTTTTGAATGTTGGACTGACGTCATCCAACACATAGTCCAGTGAAAGAAGGTCCGAAATACATGGTTCTGCGAAACAGCCTGCTTTTTTGTCTAAAAATAAATTTTTGACTTATAATCAATATTCGAGGCTAATCAAGGTACTCACCCTCCGGTAAGGGGTGAAAAAAATTGAAAATTACCCCCAAAAAAGTGTTTTTCTGAAATAACTCGAGAAATACTCGAGCTAGGATGTGAAGCATCAAAAACAAAATTGTAGAGCACAAAATTGTCTACAAAAAAGGTCCTAACCACTTCACCCCTATTTCGCGTCGTTCATCCCCCAGAGCCGTTCAAAAACTCGGGGTGAAAAAAATTTAAAAAAACATTCAAAAACAATTTTTTTTTTAATTTTTCCGTCTTATTGAATGTTTAGAAAGGTTCAAGTTTCAAGTCTCATTTTTTTACCCCATTGGGAAGCAATTTTCACGGAATTACGACCTACAATTCATTATAACTTTTTTTCCAATCGATGAATTTTTTTTTTTTCATAAATTTTATTATAATATTTCCGACAATTTTTGTAGGAAACATTTTCATGTATCTCCTACAGGGATAAAGTTTAACGCAATTCTCTATTTCTACCCCTCCAGGTAGGAACTCCTGGAGAACAATGTGCCCTAAGTCGGCACCGCTCGCACGCATACGAGCCTCTCTCCGACTCAATGCGCTTGCGCATGACGTCACCGAGTAGTCTGTTAGGAAGAAGAGTGAACAACGAAAATTTGATAATCGAAATGATTCAACAATGAAAAACTTTTTTTTGTCGGACAAAATGTTTTTGTGTTAATTTTCGGATTATGTTGTTGATAGTTGGCTTGAAACAAAAATGTGAGGAGGAATTTTTCTCTAAATATCAGAAAAGTAAACAATTACAGAAAAATTAAATGATATGAACCAATTCTAAAGTTTTTATAGAAAATTAATAAGACAATTGAGTGTGATTGACGAATATATAGGGTATAAATTCCTTGTCATTATATACCAAATCGATGTAATGACTAAATGTTATGAAATTTCTTCAAAAATCAATGGCTTTTCCATTGAAAACCACAGCCCTTCTACTAATTTCACTTGGAATCTCCCCAATAATCGATGGATTTCCTTCAGTGTTTTCCTAATTTTTCTATAATTTTTTTTTGCATTCATGAGTGCACTAAATTCTACACGAGACATCAAATTTACGAGTTCAGGTAATACCAGATAGTCATATATAACGATATAAACAATTACTGAAAGAATCACTGACGCAAGAAAAAAATATCTTTTGAAAATTCATTTTTTCCAGCATGAACAGAGTTTGAAAGGAAAATGTCAGAGTTCACAGAATGAAACTAAGAAAAAAAATTGAATAATTAGTCAAAAAATAATAAATCATATATTACACTCTCGAGATTAAATCTTTGTGTAGTTTAAAATTACTTACGAGAAAATATTATAAAAAACGAACAAATTTATTCGTAAATTACCAGTATGACAGTTGCGTTATATATATATATATTTATATAAATTATAAAGGCATAGAATGATTGCAATTGATTTTTTCCAGGTGGAAATTATTTCAATAATTCACTCATGAGTTGGAAATCATAAACAGCATTTAATGGGGAATTTTTCATTACAGATATCAATAATAATCGAAATCAATCGTTTCGAACTCATCATCGCCGTCATCTTCATCTCTTTCTTCTTCGTTTTCTTCTTCCTCTTCATCATCGGAATCATATCTGTAGATGTTTTCCCTCCGAACAGGCTGAATTTCTTCATCTGTGTCAACTTCAACATCTGTCTCCTTCTCTGCCGGTTCATCTGAATTCGCGACAGGTTGATTCAGACAATTATCATCATCATCACAGTATTTGCATAGTTGACTGCAATTTAGCCCAGCTTTTTTGCAAACACATACAGCCGTGTTGCATTTACTCCTCGCACATTTACAAGATACCTGAAAATTATTTTCAATATTTTCATAATACAAAACGATTCAGAATAGTAGTACAAAAAAAAATCTGATGGATATGAGGCGAAGCCGAGAACTGTAATCACATGAGTCAGAATAGATATTTTCCGGACTGGTACGATGGGGTTTTTTACTCCTGTGGAGTTGGCGTCCGAGCCGAAGGCGAGGACTGGCCAACCACATGAGTAAAAAAACCCCATCGCACCAGTTCGGGACCAGATTTTTATGTAGTGATTTTGACTTTTCCGAGTTTGGGAAGTATGAAATGCCGTCGATGTATCGAAAATAAAAACATTCATAAATTGAAGAACTGAGGTTAGGGAAGCTCAAATTTGCTCCTCCAGAGAAGATATTTTTCGTTTATTTCTGTTTCATTTCGTTATCGAGTGATGTGAAGAGGAAATTGCAAACAAAAATTTTTATAGAGCAGGAAATTTTCTACGGAAAAAATATTCTGACATTTCCAAATCACTCATCATTGATAGAAATGTACTTGTAGAAAGCGCTCGATAAAAATTGGTGTAACAAATTATATTGCAAAAGGTCTCTAATCTCTTCATTTCATCTTGTCAACGAGGGGCTATGAAATAAAATTGTGAAATATTTTTAGTAGGGGTGAGGGGGGGGGGGGATTTTCAATAATAAAGAATTTTCAACATTTTTATTTTGAAAATAAAATATGACGCAGAAACTTGCGGGAGACCGTAGCGGGAGATGTGGTGGGGGCCACGGTTCCACTACCGTCTTTCACTGTACGCGCCCATCTTATTCAATTGGAAAATTAATGAAAAACAAAGCCGTATATAATTAAAAATATTCTCCATTCGTAGCTGATGGATGGGGGAAGACTATTAGGGGGGAGATATCTCGGTGAATTCAATGGGGGATTTTCAATTGATTTTTGAAAATCCAAGTGAAAAAAAAAATTACCATCCAACGCAAACACTTGGGGTCAAGTTTTTTTCAAGGGTTTGGGGGTTGATTTCCACTAGGAATTTTCCTGGTGCCCTCATTAAGGGATTTTTAATTAATTTTCTAAAATTAATTTCACCGCGTCTTGGTGGAAAATAAAGGGTGAAAATCATACGCAAATACTTGGGAGGGAAATTTTTTGTGCAACATGCACAAGGGGGGTTGGGGGTTGATTCCCATTCGAAATTTTAGTGGTGCCCCAATGAGGGCATTTTCAATTAATTTTCGAACATTTTATTTATCGCGTCTTGGAGGAAAATGAAGGGTCAAAATCCAACGCAAATACTTGGGGGTGAAATTTTCTGCGCAACATGCATGCGGGGGGTTGGGGGTTTATCCCCATTCGAAATTTTAGTGGTGCCCTAATTAGGGCATTTTTAATTATTTTTTGAAAATTAAGTTTACTCAGTCTTGGGGGAAAATCAAGGGTTAAAATCATACGCAAACACTTGGGGGTGAAATTTGTTGTGCAACATGCACAGGGGGGGTTGGGGGTTGATCCCCACTTGGAATCGTCTTGGTGCCCTAATTAGGGCATTTTCAATCAATTTTCGAACATTTATTTTATCGAGTCTTGGAGGAAAATTGAGAGTTAAAATTCAACGCAAATACTCAGGGGTGAAATTTTTTGTGCATCCTAGTGAGAGCACCAGGATGATTCCAAGTGGGGATCAACCCCCAACCCCCCTGTGCATGTTGCACAAAAAATTCCCCCCCAGAGGGTTTGAGTTGAATTTTAACCCTTAATTTTCCTCCATGACTCGATTAAAAAAATTTTTCAAAATTAATTGAAAATGCCCTAATTAGGGCACCAAGATGATTCCAAGGTGGGATCAACCCCCAACCCCCTCTGTGCATGTTGCACAAAAAATGTCCACCCGGAGTGTTTGCGTTGGATTTTAATCCTTTATTTTCCCCCAAAACTGGGTGAAATTTATTTTTGAAAATCAATTAAAAATCCCTTAATGAAGACACCAGGAAAATTCCTAGTGGAAATCAACCCCCAACCCTTGGGGTACATTGTGAAAAAAAAACTTGACCCCAAGTGTTTGCCTTGAATGATAATTTTTTTTTTCACTTGGATTTTCAACAATCAATTGAAAATCCCCGATTGAATTCACCGAGATATCTCTTCCCCCAATAGTCTTTCCCCATCCCTCAGCTACAAATAGAGAATATGTTTAATTATATACGGCTTTGTTGTTTATTAATTTTTTCATTGAATAACGTGGGCGCGTACAGTGAACGACGGTAGTGGGGGCCGTAGTCCCCTCACCACATCTCCCGCTACGTTCTCCCGCCAGTTTCATCGTCATAAATAAAATAACTCATTGTTCAGATATTTCCATCAGAAATTAATTAGGATTTGGGGAATAGGCGTATGGAGTATTCTGAATTTCGGAGTACTGTTGATTTTTATTAAATCTATCTTAATTTTCGAGAGAATAGAAGAAAAACTGTGGAGGAGAAAATTTTAATTTATTCAGTACACCTCAGTGAGGTTACCCTCAAATTTAACATGAAAAATCTTATTTTCATACTGGTAACAAATCAAGGAAGAACTAACATACTTTAATTACCTCATTTTCTCGATGATTTTTTTTTCTCGATTATTTTTGAGGACAAGAAGATTGGAATGGAAAAAAAAATTTCAACATTTTTTTAATAAAATCACTCATTGTTCAGATATTTGCACTTTCAATGAGAAATCAATTAGGATTTGGGAGAATTGACTTATGGAATATCATTAATTTCGGAGCACTGTTGATTTTGATTTTTTTTTTAATTTTCGAGCGTTTTTAGGAGTTAATGAAAAAAAAATGTAGAGGAGAAAATATTAATGTATTTTTTACCCCTCAGTTATATCAACCTCAAATTTAAAATGAGCAATTTTAGTCTCCTAATGGTAGCAGACCACGGGAAAACTAATATATTTTAATTACCTCGGTTTTTCGAGGATTTTTGAGGACGAGAAAATTGTCAATGGAAAAAAAAATCAACATTTTTTAAATAAAATCACTCATTGTTCAGATATTTGCACTTTCAATGAGAAATTAATTAGGATTTGGGAGAATTGACGTATGGAGTATCATTAATTTCGTAGCACTGTTGATTTTGATTATATTTTTTTTTATTATTTTCGAGCGATTTTAGGAGAGAATGGAAAAAACTGTAGAGGAGAAAATTTTAGATGTTAACCTTAAATTTAACGAGAGCAATTTTNCGGAGAAAATTTTAGATGTTAACCTTAACTCTTCAGAACTCGCGCTCAGCCACCGACCTTCGTTACTCGCGTGGTGAGCGCTGCGCCGCCCGTGCTTTCAGTAACGCAGCGTTGTCACGTTCATAGGTACGCGCCGAGCGTGCGGCGAGCGGGAAACAGCAACAGCGGAATTGAAAATTTTACATCCTTCGTTACTCGCACTGAGCGGCACGGCGCCGCTTTTGCGTATGAGCCTCAACAATTTATTATTTTTCGTAGCCTTGATGGATTTTCAGCGGATCAGAACCTTGCTAATCCATTCCAAATGATTCAAGCTAGGCATTCTAATTTTTTCAATTTTTTGAAAGCTCAATTTTGCAAGAGGCAAGCGAAAATTTGAAAAAGGCGGCGCGGCGCTTATAGCGCGAGTTTTGAGGGGTTAATGATCTCTCAAATTTAGAGATAGATTCGTAAAAATTGGGAATAAATACTTGGAAACACACACTTTCTCTCTCTCTCTCTCTCTCTCTCTCTCTCTCTCTCTCTCTCTCTCTCTCTCNTTTATTCTCCTGATGGTAGCAGAGCGAGAAAGAACTAACATAATTTAATTACCTCGTCTTCTCGATGATTTCTTCCGGTCACTGTTTTATTTTTGTATTTCACTCACAATTTGTGACACAAATAATCCAAAATCATGAAACACAGTATGTACGCATTCTAACTCCAAAACGTCTTCACTCTACTTTTCCACGTGTTGACGCTCTAACAGACTACACGGTGACGTCATGCGCAAGCGCATTGAGTCGGAGAGTGGCTCTTGTGCGTGCGAGCGGTGCCGACATAGGGCACATTGTTCTCCAGGGGTTCTCCGATAGAGAAATAGAGAATTGCGTTAAACTTTATCCCTGTAGGAGATGCATGANTGGCTCTTGTGCGTGCGAGCCGTGCCGACATAGGGCACATTGTTCTCCAGGGGTTCTCCGATAGAGAAATAGAGAATTGCGTTAAACTTTATCCCTGTAGGAGATGCATGAAAATGTTTCCTACAAAAATTGTCGGAAATATTATAATAAAATTTATGAAAAAAAAAAATTCATCGATTGGAAAAAAAGTTATAATGAATTTTAGGTCGTAATTCCGTGAAAATTGCTTCCCAATGGGGTAAAAAAATGAGACTTGAAGCTTGAACCTTTCTAAACATTCAATAAGACAAAAAAATAAAAATAAAAATTGTTTTTGAATGTTTTTTTAAATTTTGCTCACCCCGAGTTTTTGAACGGGTCTGGGGGATGAACGACGCGAAATAGGGGTGAAGTGATTAAGAACTTTTTTGTAGAGAATTTTGCGCTCTATAATTTTGTTCTTAATGCTTCACATCGTATCTCGAGTATTTCTCGAGTTATTTCAGAAAAACACTTTTTTGGGGGTAATTTTCAATTTTTTTCACCCCTTACCGGAGGGTGAGTACCTTGATTAGCCTTGAATATTGATTATAAGTCAAAAATTGATTTTTACACAAAAAAGTAGGCTGTTTCGCAGAACTATGTATTTCAGACCTTCTTTCACTGGACTAACAGCCAACTTCCAACACCTCACGAGATCGCGAGGTAGAAATCAATTGAATTGACGTTGAAGGCTATCATACCCTAGTTGGTATGATAGCTGCATTAAATTATCAAGAAAAAGGAAGAACACAGTTTTATGGGAAAAAGCCTTTCGGCATAAAAAACCCAGATTTATTATTGTTAATACACTAAGTTAAAGGATTCACTGCCAATGGCGGTGTCACACGTGGGTTCACACACACACACATACAACAGAATGTATTTTTTAGGTTAACGATTCAAGAACAACGGCTAACACGCGTCCACACATACAGATAATGAACTCAAACTAACACTTTAATTACGTAGGTTAATTTGGCGGTTGTTTGGCATAATTTGTTAATTGCGTCCTTGGGAGTATGGCTTCTGTGCCACGTGGGGACACGAAAACGTGTGATTTCGTGCCGATGATTGTTCGTTTGCTTTCGTTGCGAATTCTTAGCCACCTTGCTTTGAATTCTTGTTAACTAGTGTACTAAATTTGTTATTTGTTATTTAAGTTGTTGATTTTGTTGGTTTAATTAAGTTTCAAGTCAAGATGGTTTTTACGCTGACGCCACATGCAGCCGTCGGCGCGCGCACAAGCCAGCGAAAACGGCACTTGTAAGGTGCTCCCACCGCTTGCCGCCACCATGCGAACGCAGCCTCAAGCCCTCACATGGGTTACGATGTAACATCAATGGACCAACGTTCCCACTAAAATCTGCCTCGAACGTCTTATGATGAGAAAAATGAAGAGAAGACACACATTGAAATTCTTTAGATCGTCATATTTCATTTATTTTAGCATGAAAAAATTTAATAAAAATTGTAATGGATGGCTTATAGCAGCATTATATAGGAAAAGTATAATTCAAAATGTTCTGCGGATTGAAATTTGTACGGAAAAAAGTTAAAATGGTTTTGGGGGTCGTGGAGGGGGAAGTTGGCTGGCATATATAATAGGCAGTGTCACATCCGTTCTTAGCGATGGGATGCAACTGCGTCCCTTGATATGAAAATTTAGGCATTCTTCATAAATTTTGTCAAAGCTTTTAATTCTGTTAATCATAATCTCCTATGACAGAAGCTTCCATACGTGCGAGTGCGTGGTAAATTTATAAGAGTTTGTCGAAGTTTGTATGATAGAGCTAGAGTAGCAGTGCGTACTAGTGCGGGACTCTCAGATCCGGTAGGCGTCACAGAGGGAGTGCTTCAGGGAGAAATCCGTAGCCCTCCTTTTCGAACTATTTATTTCTGACTTTGAGAAAAATTTAATTGAGAGGGGGACACGTGGAATCTCAATCGATCCAAAAAACGAGATTTTGTGCATTGCCTACGCTGATGATGAACGAACTAAAAATAAATGAAGGTAAATCTAAAATACTGTTTTTTCATAAAAGTGAACTGAAAAGAAATTTATCGTTCTTCTGTGACAACGAAAAAATAGAAATTGTAAAACAATTATGCTATCTGGGATGTACCTTTGTAAACAGTGGATTATATGATACTCAATTTCTAAAAGCCAAAATGTCTATGAATCGCGCGATTGGCGTAGTATTACATGTAATATACGCTGCAAAGTCACTATCCTGGAAATTGAGAGAGCACCTATTCAGTGCACTTGCCGTGAGCGTACTATGGTGTGGTAGCGAGATCTGAGGATTACGTCACGTTGATCACATAGACGCAATCTAATCCGGTTTCTACAAGAAACTAGTGGACTCTGGTTAGAGTCGACTGTTTTGCGGGATAGAGGAAGCGAATTCGGAGAATTCGACTCTATTTCCCTGCCCCCACTACGCGCTCACGCCGAGCCCGACTTCCGAGAACTGGGAACGATAAAATGAAAAATACTATTTCTTTTCTCTCTCAATTCAACACTTTATTTTAATGATAAACTTTAGTTCACAGCTTCAACTATAATAGCAATATTCATATAGAATCAGACGATTTTATTTATTATCAATATTTTTAATTTAATTGACTATATTTGATCACAGAAGCTTTGTACCTAACATTCCATAGAACAGATATTTCTTCTGGAGTTAACGAACCATGTGAATCAAAAAAATCCAATAGATAATCCACGGCGTCGACGGCTCCATCAGGGCTATGAATTTTCCTGGAGATTTCTGGATGATCCTGGGTCTCATTATTCAGTAAACAGTCATCCGACTGCAAATTAGGGACATCCATCGAGTGGCTCATCTCATTCATTGATGTATTTTCTGCACTGTCTCCTACATCCATCTCAACATCATCAATCGCTGGCTGTACTCTCGCTATTATCTCTTCATCCAGAAGTCCCGGTGAGTGATTGTCCTCATCTGCTGTTTCCATCCACTCTCTCACATCACCTTCATCGACTGTGTTGGAGTTTTGGAGACGTAACAACAGATGCAGAAATTGAAACATTTGAATCTGCTGTTCCTGTTCGTGTTTTTAGTTGCTCCCCAGACATTGGTGAAATTAAGGGCTTTCAACATTTTTGTATAGTTGTTGAGCTAATCGCATCCCAACTTTTAGCACTCCACTCAATAACATCTTTTATTCTAATAGTTTTCAAGTGGGCTATAGGTGGAATTCCCCGATCTTGTGCACTCAACAATGAAAGTAGAAAGTGGAAACGATAGTTCTTTTCGAAGGTCTCGATGATTCCTTGGTCCAACGGTCGGATTAGAGATGTAACATTTGGGGGTAGAAAGATCACACGAATTCCATCTTCATCCAATTCTTTGGGATGAGAGGGAGCATTGTCGAGTAACAAAATCGCTTTAGGTAATAAACCTCGTGACAATAAAAATTCTTTAACCTTTGGAACAAAAATTTTTTTGAACCAATCTTCGAAAATTGAACAGTTCATCCAGGCCTTAGTTTGATGTCTGTAAGTAACTGGAAGCTGGTCATGAGATACTTTGTTGAGAGCTCGAGGTCTAGCTGATTTACCGATAACTAGTAATGGCAATTTAAATGATCCATCGTAATTTGTACATGGCATAATTGTCACTCGATCCTTATTCATTTTGTGCCCAATTGCCCCATGATTCTGGCGAGGTGCCAGGGTTTTCTTCGGTAGCATTTTGAAATTCAGTCCGGTTTCATCAGCATTGAAGATTTGACTAGGTGTTAGCTTTTCCTCTTGAATTAACTGTTCAAATTTATGTACGAACTCTTTAGCAACTGGTGAATCGGCAGTTAGTTTCTCGCCCGAAATAGTAAATGATTTGATGTCATACCTTTCTTTCCACCCCATCAACCATCCCTCACTAGCACGGAAGTTCTCATCTCCCCCCATTTTTGAATTCAATGTCAGTGCCTTCCCCTGAACACAAGGACCACTAATTGGGATTCCCATTTTTCGACAATCATCAAACCATATCTTGACCCCTTCATCCAGTCGTGGATTTAGGGCTTCGCGAATTCTTTTACGGTCAAGGTGAAGTGTTCTGTGAGAAAAATCAGAGATTTTGTCTTTGTTTTTACACCACTTTCTGATCGTCGTATGATGCACTCCAACCTCATCGCATAGATCATTTATGTTCTCTCCACTATCCAATTGTTCTAAAACACTCACTTCAGTTTTAAAATTCACAACAGCTCTCGTCTTACTCTTTTTATTGGCAATGTTACAGTCGTTTTCTTTACCTCGCTTCATTATTTTATTTAATCCAATTTTGAATTAATTTTATGCCAACAAAACGAGATCCTCCCCCCATGACAGCCAGAAGTGGATTCAATTTTTTGATCGACAATTCAAATGCAGAATATTTTATTTTTCGTCTCTGCTAGAATCGGAAGACAATAGCAATTCGAAGAAAATATTGAAGTGTTTACTTTCCGGCTTGTGTGGTGGCAGAGTGGGAGAAGCGCTCGAGCGGCGAGAAAACAAAATTGAGGGGAAGTTCGACTCTAACCAATATGCCTCTAACCAGAGTCCACTGTACTCAACCTTCCGAATCATACTCCCCACTACGCCGTGCGTCTTGATGTCGATCTGGACCCAGTATGTCGCAATATTCTGGACAGAGGTTTGGGCTGGGTTGGCAAACTTCTAAAAATGGACGATAGCAGACTACCCAAACTATGTTTCAATGGTTTGTTACAGCTCGCAAGCAATTCAAGTCATCTTATAAAATATAACTGGTGCTCAAAAATTAATTCTCCAATTGCAAAATACTATCCCCCAGGAATCTAAGGTCTATGCACTGTAGGAAATTTTAGTGATGTTCGTGAATCAATTCTTAGCAATTATAAAACTGATGTGCATAATCACGACTGCGTCAGAAGAGCCAACTCCTCCCTACAACTCCTTCCTCACCTGGAATTCTCTCCTGATCGGAGAATGTAACCCGACCTTAACTTATCATTTGAAATTCTGTGACCCCTCACTCAATGCAGAATTATTAATGTAATAAGACCTAGAATAATTTCAAAACATGGGATCATAAGATTCAACAGCGACAGACACTGCTCCAATTAGAATTCGCCGTTAGAAAATAGCATTAATCACTTCTGCTTAGAATGTTCTAAGTTCCACGGAGAAAGATGTGATGTAATCAGAAAAATTTACCAGAATTTGGACTCGGCTGAATATCTGCTGAATCTTCTGAATGCCACTAATAAATACGATGTAATTGCCTCTCATAATTTTCTGTTGAAAGCGACGAAGAAAATCTCCAATGGAATGTAAAAATTTTTTTTTCTTTGCTATAAAATTGTAAAAATTGGTCTGGGTTGTTGGTTACTTGCTTCGCTCGCTCCCATTACGGGTGGGTTGTAATTCGACTGGGTTTTTGGTCGCTCGCTGCGCTCCCTCCCACTGTGGGAGGGTTGGAGTGAGTGTGACCCATAACGGGTCGAACCAATAACTTCCCGACCGATTCCCATTTGCCTGTTTATTAAAACAAAAAACTTAATTTTCGAAATTTTCATCTTGATAACTAGAAAACGGTCAAGACTATTTTACTCAGCATTCAATTTAAATTGAATCACATATAGTTGCATCGATCAGATAAGCATCGGATCGATCAGATGAGCAACAGATTCCATCGTTTTTCTATGTAAAATTAGTTAATTTTCGAGGAAAAATTTATTTTGGTTAATTTTTTTCACATGTCTTATGCGAATCACTAACAAACCGCTGAGTCGATCATTCTCCTAATCGAATTAGTGCTAAGTTCTATGAACACGCATCGATTGAAAAAAGAAATAACGCCCCAAAAAAAAAAGAAACGCAATTTTTGAAAATTCTATCAAAGTTAATGACCAAGTGCGGAGGCAATCTCCATCATGGATATTCAGTCAGTCTCAAATGATATGGAAATCCAATTGTTGATATAAAAAAAGAAAAAAAAAAAATCATTGGTCGCTCGTGGCAGACAATTGCTCAGTACACTTTGTGTAATGTAAATATCTGGTCGCTTTTAGCAGACAACTGTAATGTATGAACAAGACAGAGGTGGAATATATGCACGTATTCTGTCGCCGTTGGCAGACAATTGTACGATTACATGAATTCTCCAACAGTTCAAATTAACCAATAGATAAAAAAAACTAAAAGTTAGAAAAAAAAATTATTACTCTTAATGGAAAGTATTGTAATTTTCCTGAGAGATATTTTCCAATGTTGTGATTCCAAAAGATCACAGCTGATTGATAGAGAGTCAGACAATCTATAGAGAGTGCCGTCTGTATTAAGGTTACTAGATACCCAGGTTGGTACAATGGATTTGTCACTGGGTTTTTTTCTGGCTTTCTGGTAGGTTAGATACTGTTGCGGGCCACTATCCAGAGTTCCTTATTGGTCAGATCCGCAGTATTGGCACATGCCCTGTTCTAGCCTGGGGTGGGATCTCGAGGGCACTCATCTATAGTATAGTATAGGGAGCACACGTGCAGATACTGTATCAATTTGTTCGCTGAGTGCCCTCGAAATCCCACCCCTGGAATATCTAGTAATCTTGGTCTGTATTAAAATTATAGACATCGACAGTTTGATAACAGACAGGCGTCTCTACATAGGGAACCCATAACACTTACGGTCATCTGTTATTAGTTCTAGATATCATATCTAGACCGCGCATTCCCAATATGGATTACGTAACATAGGATTTGTGAGTTTTGGCAAAAAGACAGAGGGGTTGAGAGAGAGAGAGAGCATGACCTGGTACGCCCCTTTCTCTGTCTAACAGTCCTGTGTAGGAGGGAGCTGGAGCTTGGTGTATATGAGTGGTCCCTAATAGACCTTTTTATTCTGGAAATCTAGGGGAAATATTATTTCGTTCATCCAACGGGAACGTCTCTGAAAAAAACCATGGAAAATTCTGATAAATATCGAACTTCACAATGATATACACTTGAACGTTCAAAAATTATGATTTATATATAAATTCGGTAAAGTGTACGCAAATCTAGTGACTGTCAGAATGAAAAGGTCTATTGGGCCCCCGTTCAAGCACTGCTAAATAAGGACATCTATTTTATTGACTGTCAAGTGGATATCACAATTCTGACAATTTCTTGAAATATTTTTCTTAAATTGTCCTCGACATTATTTTGTGAAATAATGAAAAAAGATAAAAATGAAACCACTATAAAAAAACTCCAAAAAATTCGAATCCAAAAATTAATTTTCCTATAACTCCAAAATCGTTGAGACGATTTCACTGGAATTTGACTCAAGCCTTAGTCATACCGAGCTGCATCGACAATGACGGCAGAAAGTCAATCCCATCGTTCTTCTAGGAGGAATAATGAAATTTGTGAAAAAACGTGATTTTTTGACGTTTTTTCACTAGTTTTATCGGAAAATCCGAAGAACTGCTGAGACGATGTTGTTCAAAATGTAATCAATTCTAAGTGACATGAGAACAGATCGATTCCGTGGAAAAAAATTTCAATCGAATTATTCGTTTCAAAGAAATCCTTGACCAAAACACACACACACACACACACACACACACACATACACTCATCCAACAACGTCATAGAATTTTTCCAGGGGTCATGAAACATGGAAATATGATGAAATATCCACATGCGATTTTCGGGGTGATTACAATAACTTCCTCCCTACGGGTCGGGAAGTTAATAAAAAAATGATACTTTTCTGATTAGGCATTTTTCTCTCCATCTACTTATGAATATTTTTCGTCACGGGATATCCATGCCCACTATATTATTTAATGTATAACTATTTTTAATCAGGCTGTTGGTTCGACTCGCCTTTGTACGAATGTATATTCAAGCAAACTAAATAAATACATACATCTTTTGTAACCACAGTCATAACATTATATAGATGCTATTGTTAATTAATTTCGAATTTCTCAGTCATTGAATCCGGATAATTATCTGGTGAATCAAATTTGGTAATTAATTTAGGTGTTTTACGTCATGATTTTGCAATACATATTTAAAATAACGCTGTATAAACAGAACAAAAATCCTCGATTCGAGCATATAATATTCCAGACTCAGGAAGATCTGTATTCTGAAATCCGTAATAATATACCGTGTGACGGAGGTCACTTATATTTAAAGAATTAATAAAAGAGATTATGGCGAAGGTCACTTAAACCTGGTGATAATGATAGGCCATTGGTGATTAAAATAGAAAAATGGATCTCAGGGTTCTTCAGTGGTGAAGAACCCTGAGATGCATAGAAATATCCATGAAGAGATAAAATGTGTTCCAAGGAGAGATATTTCTGTCCTCTGACCGACAGGACTCCTCCAGGATCTAAGAATTGTCATTGGACATTTGGATCCGAAAGAATTCAAGAGAAAATTCAAGAGAATGATTCTCTTATATACCTGAGGAATGATAAAAACGTCAGGAAGAGGAGAATAATTGAGAATGACTGAAAAAAGAGGGAACTCACGAGGTCAATGTTTCGATAGCTGAGGTTTGGTTGCCCGGAAAACGAAATGAGTGATTGGAGCTTTTAGAGCACTCTAAGATCTTCACCAGTGGATGAAAATGGTTGGTCCTCGTGGAATCTAGAATGTTTCCTCACTGGTGAGAAATATCTCATCGTGAATTGTGCAGAAATTATCGTTTTGAAACGACCACTGGAAAATAACTGAAGTAAGAAGGGCACTGACATCGGCCATGAATAATAGGTAACTGTCACCTTGACCGTGGTGGTGTAAGGATCTCGAATGATTTATACGGAACGATGGGGATTGGTAGAAATACAGTAAACTCTCCCAGCTGGAATATTCTCACTAGGAATATTTTCTCATAAGGAATATTTTTGTTTCTCACTAGGAATATTAGGCTTTGCCCACTTT